CTCGTCCCACTGCTGCTTCTACGGTTGCCGCCAACGCAAGTTTCTTTCAATTGCGCCACGTTACTTCTCAGTTCTGCCTCCTTTCCCAGAGTCGATAGAGTCGCAGATACTACAGTTTTTTTTTTTTTTGTTAAGAAAGGAAACAGGAGACACGATGTTGCATGCATTCACATATGTACACCACCAACATCCCAGCAAAAGTAACAAGAGCGTTAGTCCCGCTGTTCTCCTCCCAGCTGGGATCATGTCACCATCATCACCACGGACACCTCAAAAAAAAGTTCAACACCCCAAACTTTCAAATGAAGAGCAAACCCACCGTAATACACCTTCACAGTCAAGCAGCTGAGAAGTCAGACAATAACTCTTGTCTCATCACATTTTTTTTCTTTTGCATCAAAAGCAACACTCCCCCTACTCAGAAAACAATTCGAAGGAAAAATAGCTTCCTCATTTGGACAACGACCCCATGCAACTTTGACACAAGAAGCGTCGTGGAGAAATTGTCAACCTTAGCCTCGATGCCCGCGAAAGAGACACGACCTCCTTCAGCTCCTCCTCATCATACCACGGCTCAGCCGCCGTCCTGGGTGGTGTTGCCGCTGCGAATGCACTGATATCCGCCAACGTCTGTGGAACAGATGCCCTGCTCAAGGGCAGTGGTCGTGTGTACGCTGCACTCCTCGACAATGTTGCCGCCTGCTCAGATGTATCCAGCGCCGGTGGCGTAGGGTACCGCTGACCACTGCGCAACCCCGTAATCACCGATTTTTTCCTAATGCCATTATCAGTCCAGAAGGAGCGGTTCGGTGTCTGAGAGCGCAACGAAGAACTTTGACTACAAAAATGGTTTTCTGTTCCCCTTCCCCTTTCCAAGAGGCAGGTGTTGCCGTCTTTGCCTTTATGCTGTTGTAGATGCATTCCTGTTTTCAGCGTCATCATTTCCTCCTGTCGTACAAGTTGAGGCCCAGTATGGGTTGCCAATGAGCTTGAGTTATCTTTCTCCTTCAATAGATGCCCCTTAATAACGCTGCGGGTTGCTTCTTTCGGGAAGCTCGCCTGAGTCTTGGAGAAACACGCTATTGTCTGTTTGGCCGCGGATAACTCCTCCCGCAGGGCGGCAATGTTTTTTTCCATCTCCTTGCATCGAAGCTGCTCCGCCCCAAGGGCCTCCCCCAACTCTGCACTGTATGCGCGCCACTTCTGCTCACACTCACTAATGAGCACTGTACTTCTACGGCGGAAGCACGTCTGCAAATTTCTTACTTGCTCCCTAAGCTCCGCATTGCTGTCATACAAGCGAATGAGCTCCCTTCGCACCGCGTCTGTCCCTCCCCCACACTCGCTTTCCTGCAGCGCCGGTGTGGCGTTAACAGGCGATGCAGACCTGTTCGGTGGGGCAGTGCTGGCGCTGGATCGGTTGCTGGGAAAGCAAAACTGATACTTTGACGGCGAGGGTGAGCCATCAAACCACGTGCATACATTGGACGGTAGCTGCTCTGCACCCGCCGCCCGTGTCCGTGGAGCAGTAATCTCCGCATCCTGCGTTATCCTCCGCTCTCCCCGATCTCTCGCTAGTGCAGCCTGTGACGACCAAGAATCCATTTCTGCGTCTAAAATGGCGCGTGTCCCCCGCTCCCTCCAAACTCCTTGTGTGGTTCCTTCTAAAGCGTTTTCCTATCAGGCTCCCGCTCCTCCTCTACCACTGTATTAACCAGGCAGCAAAACAATGGCAGCGGTGGAAAAACAAAGAGAATGACTGCATCAGAAAAGTGCGACGCAAAAAAAAAAAAAGACACATCCAGGTTCAGTGCGAGCCCAACATCTTCCACTTGAGAGAATGATCTATCCAACAAGCGCACACCAGTCAACTCACGGAGTGGGGCTGTCTTGGGGGTCCTGCAACCTTCGGGCCACCTCCGCTTGGAGGGGCAATGACAGTCGCAGTAGCTGTGGTCGGGGATTATGCATAGAGAAACAAACAACAAAACTGCATTCACACTGCCCTTCAATGCGGCGTCTTTTGAAACAAAAATCAGGTAATGCAGAAAGGAAGCAGAATAGCCCACGAAAGCTCGCTATTACGTTCTTTGGTCCTACCTGGATGCACATCTCCTCCAAACGTAAAAAAAAAAAAACTATTGTTCCTAGTGTATGTTTTTTTTTTTTTGCCTTTAAACTCTCTTTCCCTTTCTATATATATATATATGTACCGTTTGCAGCACTTCTTCACGTGGCTCTTCGCCTAAATATTACATGCGCAGTAGAGAAAAAAAAATATCATGACCCCCACACAGAAGTGTGATGAACAATATTACATTCATTCATGTGCACGCGCACACACAAAATAAGAAAGAGGCTCATCTACAGGTCAATTGCATGACACGCAACTCCCTTTCTCTCCCCACACACACACTCCAGCATACCTGCGCTTTTCGTTCCACCTATGCGTGTGAATGTCATATGGCCCCAAGGGAGTTAAGTTGTGTTGTCACTGGCTTCATCCGCTTCCACGTCGTACTCTAAAACTTTCCATCGATTCGCCCGCGAGATTGAGACTGTTGTGCTCCTCGTAGCATCATCAATTAGGCGAGAATTCTCCTGCGGCATTCGGGAACCACCTATCAAATTCGTCTTTTGGTATATGTCATATCTCGCTTCCATACTAATATCCTTACTAGGGGAGATTGCATCCACAACATCTCTGTAGTCTGCTTCGTAGTCCTCCTCTCGCATTTGGGAAGGACGCGGTGGGCGGTTGACATGAACGCTGCGCCTCAATGCCTCAAGGAGAAGCGTCGGTGAATCCACCCCCGGGCCCACAGAACTTCCAGCCGCATTTTCTGTTGCTGCTGAACTCGTCATCCTTTTCTGTAAGGCTGCACTGAAGTTTGTTGCCATATGCGCTTCCCGTAACGCCGACTTGGATAATGATTGACTATCCACCGCTTTGGCATCTGTAGTTAACTCTGACATGCTGCGATCAACAACTTTTTTGGGTACAGGCGCCAAAACCATATCAAGAGGGACATCTACCCATCGTCGGTGCTGCGCAAAAAACTCTGCCTGCATCTGTTGTACTTTTGTTAAGAGTACGTCACGTGCCTCTGCAATGGTAAGATCCCTGTCTACCTCCTCCTTCGTACGAAGAGCAAAATCCACCGCGGCCAAAACCTCGTCATTGCCTTCTTCCTCATCACCTTCGCCGTCATCAGCCAGCCTCACATCACCATCATCATCATCGCAGCAGTTGGTTGCTGCCTCATTTGAAGGTAAAGGAAGGTTAAGTGTACTGGGCAGATTCATGCGGACAGTGGTGTAAATCCTCTCCACCTCATCCCTTAGGGAGTCTTTAGTGATGTCAAAGGAAGACGGAGCAACGGCATGGCTGCTATGCCCCCTCGCGATCTTTTTGGTAGATTGAAGTCGCTCACTTGGAGGTGCAGAACCCCTAATGGTGGTTGCGGCGGTAGCAGCTTCTTCTTGCAAACGCCACTGAAAGTACAACGCGTGCCCCCGGCATGCTTGTGCATCAAACAGGCTCGCATCCAGGTGCGCCACCTCCCGTTTTTCGGCCTCTGTTTTTGGGTGAAGAAGCACGTCCCTGACGCAGTGTGACACCTTTTCCCATGACTCGTCATGTTCGCACCCAGAAATCGATGCCGCGTCCAGCGGCGCATTAAAGCGTGCGGCAAGCAGCAAAATATAATTATCTATGAAACTGCTGAATCCCTGGCTAAATGTTGTCATGCTGCCAAACTAGGCACCCTGTGTGTGTGTGTCTCCTTCGGTGCAACCGATAAGTCCAACGGTAACAATCTGCACAGTGAACCGACACAAGCGCACTTTTCACTGCTTTTTAATCCCTTCCCTCTACAGCCGAAAGTAATTGCAAGAAAAAAAAATGCAGTCGCCGCAAGTAAAAAATAAAAACATATATATGAAGAATGAAAATCGAAGATAAAACAAACAAACACAAACCAACATGTCACCAAGCCACGACGTCCAACTAATGTCACTAACAAAATGAGAGTATAAAATAGATGTGCATGAACAACGATGTATGTATGTATAATAGAGTAAAAGAAAGAGCAGTGTATGACAAGTAAATGTGTAATGAGCTACACGTATTTACATTTACAAGGAGCAATGAAAAATACCAACACAATGTTTTCTTACAAATTTGCCCTCAAGAAGCAGTCCCTTGTAGCTACCCAACACAACTATCCTTAAGATCTTTTGATACTCCATGGGAAGGACCCAAGGAACAAAAGGTGAGAAGTAAAATACAAATACAAAAAAAAAAAAATGTTCTTCTTTTTTAAAATGCAGTATGCTTCTGCCATCCTGCTGTTGTGCTGTCTGTTTTCCTGGCTTGCTGAGAGACCTCGGCCCAGGGAGAGTAGGGAGTGGTGGGGGAATGTGAAGCGAAAGAAAAACATGCCAAGCAGCCACCCCACCCACAGAGAAAAAGAGATTCGCATAATTCATGGGGAAACACACCCGGACAAACAAACGTTCGCCATGTGCAGGTCCGCAAAAAAAAAAAAAAAAAAGAAATGGCAAACACGGAAAACCGGGGCTCTCAAACCAAGACAAACACAAAGCAAGGAACAAACATGGGAGATGGCACCAGACTACTGACACACGAGAGAAATAAGGAGCTCAAACACAAAAGAAGACAACAAACAAAAAAAAAAAAGTTAAATGAAAAAGTAATGAGAGAGGTAACTCCAAGTATTCTTGTCGGGAATACTAAATGATCAGGTCCCCTTGTCATCATCGGCGTGTTTTTTCTCATAATTTCATCACCGTATCTCCACGCAAACTAAGCGAAGGAAACAGTAAAAAACACACACACGCATATATACAGAAACAAGCAAAGTCAACACGTCCCACTAAGTCGGCAGCCAGTTTATCAAAAGAAGCGATAGACTGAAAGCCAACCTCCGCAATAAACCACAGGAATTGCTTACTCTTCCTCGAGTTATTTTTGGTCATTATTCATGTTACCTATCCATTCGTTTTTCCACACAGAAAAAAAAAAAGAAGGCACAAGGGCTATCGCACCCGACGCAACCGCTCCCTCCTGTGTTTCTCAACCTCAGTAAGCCATTGCTCAATGAACCCACATTTTCTCTGAGTATTCGCCCTCGCGCTCCGGTAAAGTTGCAGTGTTGAGAGCCTATGATGGACTCTACTCTTTGTGTCCCCATCTAATGAAGCTGCCATTAAAATAGAATCCGCACTCCCTCGCACAGATAATTTTTTGCGTTGGCCCCCACCAATTACCTTCTCACGTATTTCCTTTTGTCCACCACCGCCACCTTCAGTATCGGTGCTACTGCTTTTAAAATCACGTTCAGGCATCGGTGCGAACGCCATGACTGTTGACATAAAGCGAGAAGGAATTCGCTTAACAATAAAATCACTACCTGAACTACATTTACTTACTTTCTTTTCACATTTTTTCCAGTGTTCCTCCTGGGGCAGAAAATGGGGGCCGGAAGAATACCTGCCAAAACCTTCGCTGCCACCATCCCTATCGTTATTGTTGCGGCTTTTCACCGCTTCATGACGATGCATGTAGCTTTTACAATTTGAGGAGTTTACAGCTAGACTCTTGAGCCTTAGCGAGGGGGCGCAGGGAGCAACTCCGAAAGTGCCTGGAATAACATCGATGTCATCCTGCATTTCTGGGGTCATTGCGCAAGAAGTGACGGAAACCCCGTTATTTATTGGCACCTCCCCATCCGCCATATGTTCATCAAGAGGCCTGGTGGCACCATTTGCTATTGTTGTAGCTTTTACGAGTGAAGAAGCAGCGGCTCCATTGAAAGGAGTGTGGCTCAACCGCTGTTGAGCCTCCCGCGGAATGGGGCCCATTCCCACATTTTTCCAGGAATTGCACGGCTGTTTTGGCAATAACACACCCATTGCGGGTGATGTTTTGTATCCTGCAGCTGTAACGTAACGTATCCGTCTGCGCCAGTAGTACACTTTCCCTCAATCCAGAGGAAAGAAAAGAAAGACAAACAATGGCGGGGTCCAGGTTCCACCGACTAAACCTCCTCCTCCCTACTGTACAAAACAATGTTATATAACTTAATATACCCAAGAGATCCGCGTGTTTCCCCCGAGGAGTTGACCTGTCAGTAAAAAAATTAAACTTGGAGATTCCCCGTACATTCCATTACCCCCATAGAGAAAAGAAAAAGAAAAAGAAAAAAGAAAGGCAGAATAAACACGCCAAAACGGATGGCAGCCGATAATGTCACAGCTCAGTGTTCCAACAGTCACTCGCACCCGACCAGCAAGCCCGCCCCTCCTCTTAGCACGGCACAAACACACAAGGGCTAGCACTAACTGTACCTGCATGTTCGTCTCTAGCAAAAAAAAAAAAAAAACTGACAACAATAATTGTTTGTTCACGTTGGTTGCTCCCACCATCATCACCAACTAACCAACCAACCCCGCCTCCCTTGAGTGGGGGGACGTGTGGCACATCTACAAGCAAACAAAGAGAAAAAATGAACCACACAAAAAATAATGCCTTGACCGCATTCATCCTTCCCCTTACCCTCCTTCCCTCGGAGAACCTCCCCCCGCGCAATTTTTTTTTGTTCGTTGTGTTATCCTTTCACCTTTATTTTACAAGCCGCTCTTCGAAGAAGCCCACCTCAGAAAGTATGAACCAGACCCTTGCCCAGCTAACCATAGAAATGCTAGTTAAACACATGTATATACATAAACACGCAAATAAGCTAAAGCAGGATGAATGAGTGAAAAAACCAAAATGCGCAAACATGGGCACATCGATCTCACCTATTTCCTTTTCCCAACTCCCACAGTAACCCCCCGATCCATCGTTATCGCACCATCGCCTCCCTCAGTACCTGGTACGCCATGTTGATTTCCTTGAATTTTCGCTCCGCAGCTTGGTGTTCCCTCGGGCCGGACCCGATCCATTTGTCAGGGTGCCAGTGCAACGCCGCCTTATGGTACGCCTTCGCAAGTGACCTCGAGTCTAATCCGGTGACGTTCTCCAGCCCCAAGATTTTCGTGCAATGCGCCTTTGAATTCAATGGAGCAAAGGTACTGGATTTCTTTCCTCGTTGATCGTCGGTCTTTTGCCACTGCCCACTGGACTTACCGCTTGATGGACATGAACGAAACCAATTCGGTTCATTGGCCTTCCCACTCTCGTCGGTATTGTCATTGCTGAACCCGCCATGAGATTCCTGGTACCGTCCTTCCCCCTCCTGCTGCATTTTAACTGCCTTGGCAAGTTGTTGCCGGTTTTCCTCCGTTGGCGCAAGCTCTACAGCCCTCTTAAGATCGTTAATTGCACACTGAAGGTACACTACCCCCATCCCAACCTTTTCCTCCATAAAATGAAGGTAAATGCGAGCTCGACGCGCGTACGCCTTGGCATTGTTCCCATTGATCTCAATTGAACGATGCACATCATTTAAGCCATCGTTCCACCTACCACACTGTATAGAGGTGGCGGCACGATTGCAATAAGTGACAGCGACTAGTGACTTGTTGAGTGGATCAAGTGAGAGACATCGTGTGTACGCTGAGTAGGCTTCTTCCCAGTCACCATTTTCGTATGCTGTATTTCCCCGATCACGATGGCGCTCAAAAGCAGCCACAGTACGTTCAAGATGAATATAACGGCTGTCTTTGGATCCACCTTCACTTTCTTTCCGTTGACAAGCAGCTCGAATAAGTCCCAACACCTCCCCGGTCGAGGTTGGATCATGCGCACAGTAAAACAAACATTTTGCATGAATAAAAAGAAGTTCCGCGTATTCAGCATATACTTTGCGAAGCCGTTTAACTTCCTCCAACGCACGCCAGGAGTCCACATTCAGGAAGGCCTCTAACCTGTGACATTGCCACGGCAGGCCAGCTACTCCTGTAGAGCCAAATACGCGCAGCAGTTGATCGGCACAACATACACTGTCAATCCAACGGCACTCCTTCATGTAGACATAGTACATCTCATAAGCACGCGCAGCTTTTATTTCCTCAGCGATTGCACGCTCTTCTACTGGATTTATACACATCTCACGCGCAATACGATAGTGGCGCATTGCACCCTGAACATTATTTGTGTAAATATGCGCCTTCGCTGCCCGCCAATGAGCCTTGAAGTTGGAGGGGGAGCGACTTAACACAGCCTCGCAGTCCAGAAGCGTAAGAGCGTACTGATTAAGAAGGAAATAAGCTGCCGCCCTATTACAAAGAATAATGTCGTTTTCAGGATCACGCTCAATTGCCTCACTGTACGCCTTTACCGCGTCTTCGTACTCTTTATTCTGCATATGTCGGTTTCCTTGCTCACGGCAAGCCTGTATGAACTCCGCGTTATGATGAAAGGTAAGGCAATTTTGAGTATTACGTTCAGGATGTTTTCTATACGTCTTTTTACAACCTTCGCCGCCTTGACGTACGAAACGACTACCGGTACCCCAGCAACTCGCTGGCTTCTTCTCCGCGGGGGTGCGAGGCGCATGAGAACCACATGGAGTCCGTGGTGCTGAGGAGCATGACGCCGCCACCGCCGCCATCACCGCATCAACGGCTTCTACAGCAGCTTCAGTTGCCTCACGAAATCCGGCGGTCATGTCTTGCGGCTTGCTGGGTCGTGCATCCCTTGGCACCTTCAACGCTGGCCGATACTTCATGTAAACCCTATTTATTGAGTCAGGTGGAGCATAGGTGTCAGAGTGTTTCGGTTTCCTTGAAGGACGCACCATGCGCCGCACCACAACGGAAACACCAAACCCTGATGCATCTAACAACTCAACCGACTTCTTGGACAGATCAAAACTGTTCGTTTCTCTTGACCCAGAGTCTCCGCAGTAGCCACTTGGATGTCCGTAGTCATTGCCAGGGGGGCGCCTCCTTTGAGGGGTTTGAGCTGTGCAAGGGTGGTTGACTTTTGGAGGTGTCGGTGCCACAGAGACACCGTAGACATGGAAGAGGTCCAGCCCTGTTTGTGGGTCCCTTGGTAAAGAATAGCAAGAAGAACGCCTCTTATTCATGGTGATAATCCCAGTGGAGCTCAAGTTTCCCTCCGTCTCTGCTTCCATGAAGAGGTGCATAAATCGGGAATCCGTTTCCCCCAGTGAAGCCACACAACGGAAACCCTCTCCACTCAGAGCTCTAGCTTCACGCGAATGTACTCTACCATTAACCCTGTCGTTGGCAGTTGACAATGACGGCATTGTATGAAAAATAGGGATTGACGTTGAAACCTCTGGCGTGCCCTCCGAGGAGAGTGTGTCAACTTCACTCGGTGCCCGGCCCTCTTCAGACAAGCGTCTCTTGAGGCCCTCAAAAACAATGAACTTCAACTCCATTGCCTCTTGCAACTCTTCTTCGAGTACGCCAAGACGGTTCTCCTCCCCGGCACCACGGCATTTTTCCATTTGGGCCACAATCAAGGTGCTCAGATGCTCCAACAAACACAGGTGACGGCGCAGCACCTGTTCCCCTGACCCACCACTGTCTTCCATGGAACTAAATGATCGGTTTACTTTTTGGGGAATGAAAACGTGCTCGGATGCCCCATTTATTCCCCTCCTTGCCCCAACTTTCCGGCATGCCTGCAAACCACTCGAAGATACATCGGCGCCACAAACCGTCGCTGTCACGCCCCATCCCTGCAGGCGTTTCTGCATTGCTTCGAGGCGCTCTTCAAGTGATTCCAACACAAGCCGGTGCAACACCCCGCCAAGGTGACGCACACTCATGGGAGTCGCCCGAGCCCCTATTGTCTTGGGTCGTCGGGAGTTCGTCAGAACACGACATCAGAAAGAGAGAAAGAGATAAAAGTAATTGGAGGCAGGTGCCCAAGGAACTCACAGGAAAGTGTGGTGCAAACAGCAATCTGCCACGGCGCAAAAAAAAAAAAACAACATTATAAAAACAATACATCACGCATTTACTTTCCGTTACTGTAGGACGGGTAGTCCCGCTTGATTGATGTGGCCCCACCATTGCCCTCAGACTCACCCATGCACTTTCTATCCCCCTCCTCTCCCGCCCCTCGCCCCTAACAGAAATATACAGGCAACAGTGGTAACGGTAGAAAAAAAAAGAAAATGCAGTTGAAAGGGGTAAATGCACATGGATGGTGGCACGCAGAAAAACCAATCCACAACAACACAACAAAAAAAAAATTGTTTCGCACACAAGAAACATTCCAGCAAAAGAAAAAAAACAATATGGAAGCCAGCTAAAAAAAAAAAAGATAATAAAAACGTGGAAAAAAGATACCAGAATACCCTTGACTTCTTCTAAAAAGAAAAATAATAGGACTACAGTCGTAGGCCTTCAAACATCACAACGAGTAAGCAGATAAACCCAATACAAAAGTAGAAGGAATGGGTGGTCTTGGAGCGAACAAAACAACTCCATACCCTCATTAAGTTCCAGATGGAGGCTTTCGGCCATTTGACGGTCGATTGCCTTTTGATGGTCGTATCTCACGGACAGGCAAAACACTGGAACCCATGTTTGCCCCGCCACTCCTATCTGCCTTGACTATGTTCCTTGTCGCCGAAACAACGGACACTGCCCCGTCCGAATTAGAAGATGGTGCAGAAACCGATTCCACAGGAGGAGGCTCAAGTGTCCGTGCAACAACTTTCCCCTCGCTGTGGCTTTCGACGCACTTTTCCAGCGTTGATCTATTTTGTTCAATACATTGAATCATATTATCGAGAATCGCAACCTCCCCTTGTGGTCTGGAGGTAGACAATCCGTGTAGCACAACGTCATAGATGACGTCAATGCCATACTTTTCTACATAGCGACCGTCCACCGTATTGCGAATACGGGAGTGATACTTTGATGGTTGGGGGTCAGGATTCTGATTTCCCGTGTCATCATTTGATGCGGTATCTTTACATGCAAAAACACGTGGAGCTTTTAAATAGCGTCTTTTACAGTACTCCTCGTGAAGAAAGCCAAGCGTATTCATCGCACCACCATAGTTAAATAACATGACTGAAGTAGAACGCCAAGGTTCTTCCCTGCAATCAGTTTGCCATGAAAGCAGTATCGCCAAGCGGTATGCCTTGGCTGCCGTCATCTCATTTGTTGCAACAAGTGCCTTTAAAAACGACACATATGTTCCCGCAGGATCACGCCCAGCCACCTTAAATACCGGCAAAACGGCCGCGCGGTGAATACCTACTCCACTATCACGGCCCACAACGTGCGATACAAACAAATCTGAGCACTGATTATACGGCATCTCTCGGTGAACCGAAATAATTTCACTAGTCCCATTTGAAGACGATGGCGACGGCGACGATTTTGTAGATGCGATGCCTTCCCGCTCTGCGCGTGGAACTTCATGAATAAAAAGGGCGGTTGACATGCTCTGCGCTGGATCTTTACCCTTCATGAAGGCATACGTCGGAATACCAGCGCGAACAGTACCCAGTACTCTCCCTAGCCAACGTTCCCATGGAACATTCTGCCATAATCCTCCCTTTTCCATGTCATTGCCTCCTTTCCAATGTCGAATGGGCGTTGCGTCTTCCATTGAGGCAAATCCAACACCTTTGGTATTCACATAGGTCACCATATGTGTTCCTGGTCGAAAAGTTCCCTCAGATACACTCGTGGTGGGCCAAACAGTGGCTGGAGTAATAACGCGTGTAATAACGGGGGAGTCCGCCAGGGGACTAGACCAAGGAACCTCTGCCGAACAAATTAAGTCCCATGGACGATTTGCCTTAAAGACTGCCCATTGAAGCAGGCATGAAGCCTCATTTGTTGGGTTCCAAAGCGCCTGAAAAGGAATGGGAATGTGAGATGGAGCCCATGTATCAATGAAACAGACTTGACCCACCTCAGACAGAGGTACATGTGGTTTTGGCGCAGGTGGTGGAAGAAGCCCCTCAATTGGGCTTAGTAAACGGTGATAAAGCTTTTCAAGAAGACCATTCCATCGACTTCGAATAACCCGTCGTATTTTAATGGCATCTTTTGGAGGATGTGTTTGTGAAATCACCTCGTACAAGCGTTGAAGCTCCTTCAATTCCCAATCAGCATCCTCGTCCAAGACAATAGGTGCCCCCTTAACATCACCATCTCTGACGACATAGGCATACAACTGATTCCAAGAGATCTGACTATAAATCACGATGCTCACAGACTGTTGGACACTGTACTCTCGTAGCTGCCGTGCAAGAGCACTTGGGCCGTTGTCTGTTATCCATCGTATTGTGGGGTCTAACGCGGAAAACGGTTGGAACTCCTCCAGTAGGGGCGATTGATTATTGAAAATAACTTTCTTCTCTTGCTGACAGGCCAAGATGTGGGCAGTGATTAAATCCTTTCCGCTATTAAAGAGAAGTCGCCCCAGTGCAGCAACAAATGCGTTATAAACCTCGTCTTGCTCAATAAACCATTCCTCACCCTCGCTCCAAGATTGCTGCCCAATCAGGAATAACTTACTCAGTGAGGCAGAGTTAGCGGGATTCATAAGGTAGCACTCCATGGTGCGCAGGAGGGTGGTGTGAACAGCACGCAGTCGGCACAGCAGTTCAGATTTTAAACCGTCTACGTCAGCTGCGTTCCCAACCACTGAACTACGCCGTTCTTTTGCCAGTCCCCATGCACGATACACCATTTGTAATTCTTGAACCATTAGATCAGTTAGAGAATCATCTCTCGGGTACATATTCTTATTTGTCATACCTCATCACTGTGGAGCTTGAAGTGTCTTCCAGTGGCGCAGTACATGATGACTCAAAACTACAGCTAGTCCCGCTAGAATCTATATCACGCGGTATACCGTTCTCTCTCGGCGAAGTTTCAGTGTCAGTAAAATCTTCTGAAAACGATTCCACATGACGGTAACTTGTTGTCATCATACGAGCAAGATTACTTTTACATGCTGTTTTTGTAGTAGCCTCCATACTGTATACCCTCTTCGCGTGACGTATCAGCCACATGGGGGATGTGTCGTCCCGCCACTGTGGTGGGGAATTAATAGCATGAAGAAAAAACTCGGCATGCGTCTCAATCCACCTCAGCAGGCCTGGCTCTTCCTCCTGTATTGTAGTGAGCACCTCTTTCAGTCGACTGGGGTCACGATCAACGTATTCCACAATGCACACCATAACGGGGTGGCTTTGGAAGGACTCAGGAAAGTGGCCGCGTTGGCCCTTTACAAGCAAGAAAAAATGATGCAGGCCACGCCTACCAAGCATAAACACCAATGGCTTAAGAAACCGGTACAGCCCCTTGTCTTTTGGACCAACCCGGATGTTCATGCCGTCATCCGCAGCAAAGTCTGCGGGATTTAAAGTAGGCCTTTTGACGTCTACAAGCTGCTTCGGGGCGTCCACACCCTTCGCCCCTGTAGCATGTGTTTTTTTTCTCAGTACGGGCCTTCCCATTACCAAGACGCCGTCGCCCTCCGGAACCGTGACTTTGCCAAGCAGGCGCCGATCGGGCTCGAGGTTTTCCCGTCGCCAGGCGTAGATGAGTCGCTTGCCCACAAACAGTTTAACGCTCTCACGCTCGAAGTGTAGCTGTTCAACAGCAACGTCCACCAGGTGCTGCACAGTGAACGGGGGTTCAACAGAACATTTTCTACCGGCCACCGTTTTCAGCTCAATCGTGCTTGGCGCACTAGAGAAGGTCATCTCCTATAAACACTGGCACAGGGAGTAAGCAAAGAATACACACACAAATATACGGACTAAAAAAAAAATGCAGGACCTACGAGTTTGTTTAGCTACACTCCACACTTGTAGTCAAGCTATCCCCGCGTGGTGGTCCAATGTGTAATAATAATATAAAATATGTACAAAGCAACTAAAGAAAAGAAAACAAACTGTCGAAATTCCTTCTCCCTCTCGCCCTTTCTTCCCGCTCGGCCCTACTTCCAACTACGGCGACCCGCTGAAGCTTCAAGAAATAAGCCCCTGGAAAACACACAGTTGAGCAAACGAGAACAACCACCAAAGGAGGAAAGAAACTAAATAGATGAAAAACACAACCTACCGGAGACTTCACGAGGAACAACTTCCTAAACAAAAAAAAAAGAACTGTGGAAAAAAAAAGACCCATCAAGAGCGCTGCAAAGAAGTTCGCTGCACTCCCCCTCACAAAAGGGCGCGTGCCACCGCAAAGAGAGATGAAGAGGGCAAAAAGAGCCAAGGCACCGCGCAAATCAAAGCGTACAAGAAGACGCGAGTGACGGAGAGACCAACAAAGGAAATAGCAAAAAAAAAACACACACACAAAAAAAAAGACACAACAAGAAGTCAGACCGCATGCAATACAGCCTTCACACACGGGGGTTGAGAGAACGCACTGGTGTGTTTTCCCCATCTTCCCCGTCAAACAAAGAAAAAAGTGGGTGCATATACATCGACGCATATAACAGTGAATTGTAACAAGAAAGACCTCATACCCACTAGGCGGCGTTTGTGTGTATATAATACAAACACGGCAGAAAAGTGGGATTAAGGGATAAAATAATAATAAAAAGTGTTCGCAGGAAAAGAAACGCATCACCCCGTGATTTTGTGTAGCAAACCAGATATAAACTGCGGCAGTGCGATGAAGACAACAAACGCAACAGAAAACAGAAAAAAAAAAAAAGAGCGGCTGCGTCAAATTGGGTGCCTGCATACACGCAGCGCGCACACCAATGGGGGAATTGGCATCATCAGTAAATTTATCAAACGATGAGATAGGGGCAAAACAGACCCTCCCACCTCTAAAAATAAAAACAAAAAAAAACGTTGCACATTGTCTGTACGTACAATACGCAACACAGAAAACTACAAATAAACGAAGAAGGCGCTAATAATAATAATGATAATAATAATAATAATAATAATAATAATAATAATACGTAGACGCGCTGGATCAGCAAATACAACAGCAAAAAAAAAGGGGGGGCATGCGTGCAAACAGTTTCTGTGTACGGCACGCAAAGTATGAGAAATATCCAAAAAAAAAAAAAACACTTTCCTTCTCCCCACAGAGAGAGAAAGAGAACAAAAAAAAAAAACGTAGTAGATGCAGAATGGCACGAGTAGGAGCATCCCACTCCGCAGTTTTCACCGTCGACTGAGTGCAAACACTTTTTATTTGTTTTTATTTTTGGCTTTACACATGCATTTGTGTGCATGTGTGTGTGTCTTTATATGTAGAGGAGCAAAGTCGTGGCAGTAATAACATGTGCTGTGTGTATCGCCTCGTTTCTGAGGCCATCATCGACACATAAAACCGNGATTGTCACCCCTCCCCCAGCAAAACNGGAGCAGAAAAAAGAAACTAAACACTGACACATGCAGAT